TAAAATTGAATTTGGCTAAGAAAATTGGAGTTAAAGTTTATGCAAATCAGGACATAAGTCAATACATTCACAGTACGACATAGCGGCCTTATGATGCTTATGTCGCTAGTGCGTACTCAAGCCTAGTGTCAGAAACCGTTTTATCGGGTTATGTCCAGATTTTTTACAATGCCACGTAAGCTAGACGTAGGATCACCATGTGGTTTAGTTTGTAAAAGTTTGTTGTAATTTAATTTGAAAAAAAAAGAATAAAAAACTGTAGTCTATCGTACAGCTGCATTGCTTTGGAACGTGGTTAACGATTTCACAATATAAGCTTCATTTTTTSAGAATCAAATAAAATCAATAAATTTTTGATGCCCGAATGGCGTATGGCTCATTTAATAGTTAATTAATCTCTTAAACATGGAGAAATTTCCATGTAAATTTTACATACCGTTTGTCAAGCACAGGGCTGCCAAACATAAGGTAAATTGTACGACTTCTAGGTCTTGAATGAGACTCATCTCCAACAGTGTGTTTAGTTGTCACGAACTGAGCAAACCCTTCTCATTTAAAATAAAGATTCGCTTTCGAATGGTGACCAGTCTAGCACAGTTCGGCAAGTGTATCTCATTTCCGTTGGCGGTCTGATCATTATATCCGACATGCGAATAATATGACAGGTGAAAACTGACCCGAATGAACTAGATCTTGGGGAAAAAATCTAATCCCGTGAAATTATTCGGGTAGTAAGATGATCATATTAATTGCAATTTGTGTATGAAATCTGGTTGTGATATTAAGAAAAACCCAGGGGAAATACGGTTTAGATTATCGGAATGTTTGTCTTGAATGTTTGTCTTGAATGTTTGTCTTGAATGACCTTGAATGACCTTGAATGACCGGACTAAGTCAAAACCGGCAAAATAGCACATATCTTGTCCAAATGAAAATTAAAATGCAGATTCATTGATCCTAATGCCCCTCCCATAGAGGTTTTAATCCTCTCTCGGCCAAATTTACCAAAGAAAACACAAAACAGTGACGGGAAGTACGGGAAGTGTTCGCAGTATGCCCTGCGAGGTTGAAGAAGAAAGCTGCTGGCGTTGAAGTTGATATTTGAGGACTGTTAGGGAACGAAATAAATGAAAACTTAGATATATGTTTTCTAAAATAATAGCCACTACTCGCCACAACAATGATTAGTTCATAAAAACTCACGCACGTTGCATTCCAACACGAGTTAAGCAATAATTATTGATCATTGGTTCGGATATTTGTTACCGATAGCGTAGTCGAATAAATAATTGTTTCAGTAAACTTTTAGGCTCGAACATCAATGGAAAGACAAATTAAGGAGTAAAATGTTAGTATTACTTCCGCTCCGGGAAGTAAACACGTCTCGTAATGAATGGTCGCCATACCAATCAAGTATAAAATCATATTTACCGAAGTAGCAAAAAAACCTTACATAGATTCAAATACTCGACACCACTATGGAACTCTTGTGATATTATTAGAGAACATTCACCTCCAAAATGACTAGTTATTATTATTATTGTTTCCTCGTTGTCAACAATGGAATCAAGCTAGCCGAGCCATAAAAAATAGTAAATTAAAGCGACACTATTATGCGTGTCTAATTCGGTATTTTGTCAAAGGTCAAGATAAGGAATTTCCTTTTTGAAAGCTTGTGGTGGGAAGGGAACAGTCAAGTTATTTGGTCAACGAACTGAGTCAGTCTAGTCTACTCAGTTGTGACATCCAATAACTGAGTAGTTTTACTGGAGAAGGATAAATATTGATTCGTTATTTCACGTTTTTATGTCCCGATTATTTCCATCACAAGAGAATACTAAGAATAAGCCAATTCTTAGCCGGATACAGCACGCATTTGTTAAAATCAGTTATGTTTAATCTGTTTTGTTGTTTTTGAGGCAAAAGAGTAGCCTCCGTTGCAGATGTCTTGCGGAACCAAACCCCGCAGGACGTCTGCAACGGAGGCTAGAAATAGAGCAACTTTACAAAAAACGCTTCATTGACACTTGAGAATAAAATCACCTTATTACGATTTAAAAGATCGTAAGAAAATACACATTCGTTAATTCTTTCCTTTAAACTCAAAAAATCTAATATACTCATAGAAGACCAAGATACTTGTACATACTTTATATCATTAAAGTCCATATGAAAGAACTATCTTCACGTTCCAAGATTAATTCAAGGTACTGGCATTTTGTAAAATTCATCTTTTCATTAACAGTAAAGATCAAGTCTGTCGTACAGCTGTATTGCTTTGGAACGTGGTTAACGGTTCCACATTATTCGAGAAATTTTATGACGAAATTTCCAAGGCCTGCATTGAAAATAATCTCATACCCCATTCAGTAATACTAGACCCTTAAAAAACTTTGAAATAAAAGTTGTTTAGTTTAACTAATTGGTTGGACTTTACATCGAGAGAGCGTGGTTTACTACTACACAACTTCCAAACCTTGTTATTAACTAATTACATACCGTACTTATACATACCGTTTGTTGAGCACRCTGCTGCCAAATAGAAGGCAACTTGTATGAATCCTATTCCTTGAACAAGATTCATCTGCAACAGGTTTGGTTGTCTCTAAGCAAACCCTTCTTTTATAAATCAATGAAAATATGATCGTGGCTGCTAAAGATTTGCCTCTTTTGAATGTGTCGACCTCTAGCACAGAGCGTTTCGGAGGCAAGTGAATCTATATTTATTATATAACATATAGTGGTATACCAAGTGGTATCAAAGTGATAGAAAGCTTATCCCAGTCATAAAGATGAGAATATATGGCAGTCATAAAGATATCATTTATATCCCACGTGTGATATCACTCAGTCGACCAATTAGCTTTCAGTATTTTCGCGCGCTGTCACAGTGTCAAGTGCTTCAACTTCCATTCTAGATTGTTTATCTTGTGCTTTTTCGTCTTTTTCCTTGCTAAAAAAACTATGGCATCAAGCAGATTGGTTGATATAACTGATGAAGAGCCGAGTGAGTTTTTAGAAGAGCAGGGAAATGTGAACACAAAGAGGAAAACAATGTATGATGTGGAGCTGTTTAAGCCGTTCGTCCAGAAAAATCATGACGACTTGCTTCAAGATCGATTGCGTCATGAACTGAAACTATCTGTCTTAAACGAGCTTCAGTCTAAGCTTTTTGTGGAGTTAGAAGGAAAGACGGTTCCGAATACAAGCCATCGAGTTTACGAGGATTTCTTTCAAGTATTCAACGATATTTGAACATAGTTACTGAGGGGAACTATGATTTGAACAAAGAAAACTACGGTTTGACAATTTTTAACGATGCTCAATTCAAAGGACACAAAACACAAAAAACATTTATCAAAACCCGTGAAAACCTTGAAGTAGTAAAAAGAACGTATTCATTTCCATTTATTTGAAATCTTTCTGTTATATAAAAAAA